CCCCAAAACCCCAAAACCCCAAAACCCCTAATTGAGAAATCTGGAATCAGATAGAGTGCATACAATTATCCATAATTTAGAAAGTATTCTAATAGATAAATTAAAATGAGAGCTGAAATATTGCTATTACTATAAACTGCTGCTGTTGGAATAGTATTGGTAGAAGGCCAATTCACTTTACAATAATCTTATTCATAATGCTCCAAATGCCTTTCAGATCCCTTCAAGAAGTTCTGTTTTGACGGCAAGTCCAACTATTTCTGCTGTAGCACAGTGAAACCTCGCAAGCATGCTTTAACTCAATTGAGAGGGGATAATTAAACCATACTGGAAGATTTCTGTGATCCCAGCTACTAATGCTCTAATTCAGAGTAATAATATTCTATTTTCAATTAAAATTGGTTTTAGTTATACTTAGTCTATGACGAAGTACCAATTCTGCCCTTCAGATAAATAGATTTGCAAGAATGAAAAGCCTCTAGAAATGTATTCTTCATTCCCATTTCACTCAAACGCTCATAAAACAATCAGCCTGAATAGATTACCAGAGAATTATGTTTGCAACTATGAGATAGATTTGCTTTACAATGAGGAATTTGACGATATGATGCATCTTACAGTTTAAAATCATGAGGATGTTAAGGTAGGCATAAGCTATTAGAATAAAGCTAATGGTGGTAATAGCATCAGAGAAATAGGACTTGTAAGTGAGGTTAACTGCATTTAGCAGAGTAATTGTACAAAAGACACCTCTGGCTATCTGAATTATTATCTCTCAAACTCAGACAAAGCTTTTGTTACAGTTATAAGTTTAGAAAATAGTAAAAATACTTAATTCCAATTAGAGGCTGTTGTCGCTTCCAAGAATTCTAGCGTTATGTTTTTCTTGATTTAGACTTTTGTTATATGGATTATCTTCTTGATTTACTTCAAGATCTTTATAAGATTTATTCAGGACTAGCATAAAGAATGGTATGAGAGGAAAAGTAAAGAAGAGTAGGAAGAAGTTTAAGAGGCCAAAAGACTCAAAGAAATCATTGATTTTTGAATTCCAAACTGGCTTATATGTAATTTCTTTTAATTTAATAATCAAACTAAAATTAAAACAAATACAAAATTACCAGAAACTAAAATGATCAAAATAACATCAGAAATGCAATTACTATTAATGGATCTAGCTAAATTCAGATCAAATATTATATACAAAAAGATTTAATATTAAAACACTCAATAGACATTTGCAGTTGTAGATCCAGAATACTTATTCAAATTGATGCAGTTACTAAATGATACTCTAAGTCCTGTTTAGAATGTTTAAAAAGAGGCTTATTAAAAAGTTTAGCAAGAATAAAAATTAGTAGGATATCATTGTGCTCTGCTAGAAGTTACTGTAGATCCAAATATTCCTCAACAAATAAGACTTGCAGCAGGGATTCAGCTTGCTCTTTAGGCTAAATTATGTTGGAAAAGAGAT